TGTGTGATGAATGGGCGCTTTCCTGTATTAGCACCCCATCCCACCAGCTGCTGTAATCCAGTCTGTATCCATGGATGAACTACAGAACTTCCTTCCCATCAGACAGGCGTTTCTGTACCGTCTGGGCACGCCAAACCTGAAGCTGCTTTAGAAACGTCACTCTCCTCCATCTTTTTTGCCCGTTGGTGTTTTGAGCTTTCCTAAAAATGCTTAAATACCAGTTCATTCAAGTTGCTTTCTTGGGTTATTTGCATAAATAATAACTGTTACATAATTAAAATGGATAGGAATGGCCGTTCAAAGCATTTTAAAAGCTCAGCCTAATAGATTATGCATTTTCCTGTTACTCTTATTGCTTCAAACTTTTTTTTTTCTCCAGAAGGTGTTCCCTTGGTTCTTTGCTACCTAAAACTATAATTAGAGAAGTCCAACAACAGAAAAAGCTGGAGCTGTAATTCTGTTAACCTGCTCCTCTTCATAGGAACCCGAGTTTGGGCAAGAAGGAGGCAAATCAGCTCCTGAAGAGCGAATTTAAGCTGCTGAAAGAGAAGACCAAAACCAGGACAGCAACTAGCGACAATGTAGCTCTTTGTGGATCCACTGTTGCCCAGAAATGTGCACTCAGTGCTCCGGCTCATTTACTAACCTGGTGCTGGTTTAAGCCCTGCTTCAACCCCTGGTTGCCACCATTTCTGGTGGTGCCTCATGGTAGAGACCGCCCAGCAGGGCCTTGCTCCTGGTCCCAGCTGTGGGAAGAGGGATTTCACTCTGAAAAACTAGCAACCAATACTCCCTATACCACATTTCATGCCTAAGAATAATATTTAACAATTCAGTTACCCGTGCCTCTTTACTCTGCCTTCACAGTTGTCAGGAGTCAGGTGTGGAGCACGCACCTCCAATTAATTTTATAGTACCAAATGACAGTTTTCAAAAAAGTTGCTGGGTTGGTGGGACTTTTTGTTTGTTTTTCCCTTTCTTCCGCTTTACCCCATCACACATAGGCCCAAACTGCCAGACTGCGACCAGTTCCTCCCTGCTGCTGCTTGTTGCTTCAGTGCTTGTCTCCACTGGATTTTACTCGAAAGCTGCCAGATCTGGGCGTTTCAGAGACAGCAGCGCCAATCCGCGTATTTGGGGGCAAAACATCCACTTTTCCACACGGTGGAGGAAGCTGCATTGCAGAGAAAGGCACCATTGTGACAGAAGAAAGAACAAAAAAAAAAAACGATCTAGCTGTTCACCAGCGCCATTTCCGCGCTCTTTATGTCTCTCCCTCCCTGCTAAGCGAGGCGGGGTCCTCGACACCTCCGTTATCTCCCCACTTTCCCGTGTCGCAGCTCGGCGGCGCCCG